ACTTATGAGTTTTCACGTCAGCTGAAATATAGTTACCCATAAACAGAATAACCAGTGGCATGGTATAGCCCGTGCCACGTGTCACTGAAAAATGCAATTAACCATCACACAAAAGCAATTCTATTCCAGTAGCTCATATGGTAAACTGAACACTGGTTAGAAAAGCAGAAACATGCTTTTGGGAACATGCTAGACTAGCATTTTCCATTCCTCAGAACACTGTTGTCAGCTTCAGATTTTGTGGAAGTAGACAAAGGAGTCCTCGGAGTTTCTATTTATGAGAGTAGCCTTTTAAAATTTGGTGTGGAGGGGGGAAGAGGACAGAGCAGGAGTGGATCTGCTGTCAGCTGCCATTCCAGCACTGCCTGGTACTCTATAACCCTGCTCTGTGGGAGTCAGAGCCAGTGCAGAAGGTGCTGCAGCTGTGGGGAAGCTGAGCAGTGTCCTCAGACCATCAGTGTGTCAGGATGTGCCCTCATCCCAAACCTGAGGGGCACCAACTCTCTCTGCTCACAGCCTCCTCTCTGCACAAAGGATCTTTCTGGCAGGAAGGATATAAAGATTATCGTCTCAGGTTCTCTAACCAACCCAGAGAAAGAGCTGTGGTCAGTCAAGGCAGCTGGCTGATTTGGCCTCAAATGGTACAGTATTGCATGGGTTTAGATAATGTACAGATAGACATGCCAATGGGATTTGATACCAGCTGAGCACATCCCTGCAACTCCACTGAATCTACAGGAACCCTTCCCCAAGGTCTTTTTAAAGCTGTTCATATTTTGTTCAACCAGTGGTCACATCCTGCTACAACTAACAAGTGCTGAACTCTTCAGACAAATTGTATAAATTCACAAAATGCCTTGAGGTTATTGAATGAAAAATGTAAGGAGAAAGAAAAGCCTCCTTAGCTGTTGTGTTGAGTATGGAGCACAACCAACTTTGGAGAATAATTTCACTACGGGGCCTCTTCAACTTGTGACAAAGATGAAACTGATGGGTTTTAAACACTACCAGCTCATTCTAAAGAGGGTCATTTGTAAAGGGGATTCTAAGAAGACTTCTATGCAAAGAGTTTCACCCAGCATGTGGTTAATCATACCTCACTAGAATTGAAGGCAAAAGGCTTCTGTGCCTCACAAGAGGGAAACTTCATTGTGGGGATAAACATAGAAGGGGTAAAGATGGAGCTGGAAGGATCCTGTGGAGTGCTTATATGTATCCTGAGTAACCCAACAAATATGTAATTTGGCAAGAAATGGTCCCAGAAATGGTCAAGCAGGAATGGAGAGTTGCAGAAACTGAAAGCTGAGTTAGCAAAGGAAAATTCTGCTCTGATTCTACTATGCATATTCACAGAATATCAATTAAAATGAGCCCTCCCTGCACCATTTCCCATTGGAAGTACTCTGCCTCCAGTCATCCAACCATACATGGTTTCACAATGGTATAAATGATACAAATTAATTTTAAACACAAATAAATCTGGAAGACAATCTAGATTGACAGCTCTCTGTCTTCTGTGAATTGTTCACTCAGGTCAGTGGTCACAAATGTCCCACATGATGAAGAGTTGCTCTAACAAAGATGGCAAAACAAACGTGGTGTCTTAGTCCAGGGCTTGTTTCTCCTGCATGCCTGTCAGCCATGTCAGCAGTAAGCACAGAATCATAGAACCATAGAATGGTTTGGATGGGAAGGGACCTCTCCTTCCAACACCCCTGCCATGGGCAGGGACACCTTGGAAGGATCCTGTGGAGTGCTTATATGTATCCTGAGTAACCCAACAAATATGTAATTTGGCAAGAAATGGTCCCAGAAATGGTCAAGCAGGAATGGAGAGTTGCAGAAACTGAAAGCTGAGTTAGCAAAGGAAAATTCTGCTCTGATTCTACTATGCATATTCACAGAATATCAATTAAAATGAGCCCTCCCTGCACCATTTCCCATTGGAAGTACTCTGCCTCCAGTCATCCAACCATACATGGTTTCACAATGGTATAAATGATACAAATTAATTTTAAACACAAATAAATCTGGAAGACAATCTAGATTGACAGCTCTCTGTCTTCTGTGAATTGTTCACTCAGGTCAGTGGTCACAAATGTCCCACATGATGAAGAGTTGCTCTAACAAAGATGGCAAAACAAACGTGGTGGTGTTTTAGTCCAGGGCTTGTTTCTCCTGCATGCCTGTCAGCCATGTCAGCAGTAAGCACAGAATCATAGAACCATAGAATGGTTTGGATGGGAAGGGACCTCTCCTTCCAACACCCCTGCCATGGGCAGGGACAGCTTCCTTTAGACCAGGTTGGTTCAAGCCCCATCCTGGCTTTGGGTAATTTCAGAGATGGGGCAGCCACAGCTGTGTGAATTCTGTGTGCAGTTTGACTCTATCACGATGGCCATGACAGCATAATTCTTCAGGAAAAAAATCTAGGAAAGCTTATTGGAAAAGAAGGATTCAGAATTAGAAAGAATAGGTCCTGAAGAATAGTTATCAGTTTTCCATGATACGCTCACAGGTTGAAACAAGAACATCTAACATCTTTGCATGCAGACATCAGGACAGTGGACAGACACTTGGCATGCAGGTGTGGTCTGTCTGGAGAGGGGGCTGAGACATCCTGGTGAAACTTGGGCTGTGCTCTTGGACCTCGGTGTGGGGAAAGTGAAGCAGTAACTCACTGCTGGTGTGGAGCAGCAACCTCCTACTCTGCCTTGCAGCTCTGAGAGAAACCCTGACCTCCCCAGTCGGGTCTGCAGCTGATCTCTATGCTGAAGATCCCCCCACGGAGGTTATTGCCACCTGCAGGGCAATGCTGCTCCAGAGTGACAACCTTTACTGGCTCTGCACAGTTCCTTGTATTCCTAGGCAATAAAGGAGTTTCTCACATGGGCAGAAAACCATTAGAACTGGTGGATACAAACTAGCAGGGGAAAATAATGACCTATTAAGACCTAATAAAAGTGGTCAGCATAAAAAATTGGTGGGAGCATCCAGCCTGGGAGCTTAGGCAGGGTAGAGCCCAATGAGGCTGCAGTATGGTAATGGCTCTCTCTGAGGAAATCTGTGTTTGTGGTCATCTGAGGTGGGACTTGCTAGGGAGAGGGGGGAGGAAAGCCCCCCTCTGACTGCGTTGTTTACTCCACTGCTGGCTGTGGAGCTGTAACTTTCTCTGATGTTTTGCATGGTGTGTTTGCACATGGAACGAGCTGCCTTGCAGGATTCTCTGATGTTTATGACCATCACGGCTGGGATCTTGATTGACTTGGGGAGCACAGGGTGATGTTGTCTGAGCATGTTAACTGATCAATGTTGCTGCCTACAGGCCAGGAAAGGTTGGGGTCCCCTGCCTAATGCCAACTCAAATTTAGATGCATGTCATTTATAGTCATGCAAAGCAGTGTCACATTTTTTTCGTCTTCTTTGATCGTACCCAGAAACTATAAATCCCCAGGGTGAAATCTTAGCTCTACAGAAACCCAGAGCAAACCTCATTTAAGTGATGCACAGTTCATGGCGAAAGTTGTGGTTTTATTTCTTAAGTGATTCTTGTAATTGTTAGAGAATTGTATTTATTTCTCTCCCCTCTCAGCAAATGAAATGTCAATTTTCATGGTCAAGTAGTCTACTGAAAACAGTCAGGGCTGTCTGTTCAGGGTGCTGGGGGCTGATAATAAAATTACAGCCCAGTAATTTTATATTTTTCTCCTATTATCTGCCATGCACAGTATGTTTTATGTGTTCTACTCCACTGGGACCATCATAAACCTTTGGCCAGCTCTTTAATTTGAATATACTCAATGGGAGGTGGCAGGTGCACTGTTACAAAAGATTTTGAAACTTTATCATAGTATATTCAGAAGGTGATCATGTAAAAGCTGTTGGAAAATGGAGAGAGGTGAAGGAGAAATTCAATGCCTGGGAATTTATTTAATGTTTAAAGACAGGAAATGCTTTAAAAGCAAAAATATCTCAGATCTGTCTAATCCACTGCCCCAGACCAGTCACCACGATACCCCTGGTGAAGGGGGCAGGTAGAGGAGATGACCTCCATCTCACCTCAGCTTCCATCATGCTCTCCAGCTCCTGGCCAGCTGGGGCAAAAGGGCACCTTAAGCTGACACAGTTACTGTTTATTTTCACTGTGTGACTCTGGGACAAGAGAGATTTTGAGGGAGATTGGACTGAGATAGTACTGGAAAACTGTCTGGCACAAAAGGGAGATCAGGAGGTGAGGGACACTTCTAAATGCAGCCAAAATAATCAGAAACAAGTTCTGTGTTGATTTCCAGCCTGGACCAGTCCCATCCACCTCAATACTTGTTTGCTATTAGATTATTTGGATCTTTGATCCTTTCCTGAAGTTTTCTGCAGAAATGAGTGTGTAGTTGCACAACTACATTGGTTGGGAGCAGAATCTGCTGCTGTGTTTGGCTCAGTTTGTGTGAACCACTGTGTGAAAATCAGCTCCTCAATGGACATCAGTCTGTCACAGCTGTGCTCACTTCCCAGGCACCTTCATCTTTGTGTGATTTGTTTCTTTGTTTTCCAATGATGCAACTTTAAAAAAGAATAGAAAATAACAGCACATTGTCTCCAAGTGAGTATTGGAAGCTGCACGGCTTGTCCTGGACTGTCACAGAACTCTCTTTGTAAAGAGAGGGAATTTTCGTGAAGAGAGGGGATCTCATCAGTGTATGAAGATAGTGCCAAGCATCTGAAGTGTCTGAAGGAGGAGTGCCAACGCGATGGAGCCAGGCACAACTTGGAGGTGCCCAGCAATGGGACAAGAGAAAATGATGCTCAGAAAGTTCCATTTGGACATGAAGAAGCACTTCTTCCCTGTGCAGTGGCTGAACACTGGAAGAGATTGTCCGGAGAGGGTGTGGAGTCTCCCTCATGGGGGACATTCCAAAACAGAGTGGAGACAACCCTGTGCCCGGTGTTTGGGATGACCGTGGCTGGACCAGCCGATCCGCCGCGATTCCTCCCAGCCTGACCACGCTGTGCCCAGCCCCTGCGTGCAGCCCCCGTTCTGCCCCGCTGTCCGCACATCCCCGCTCCGCCGGCCGCCGCAGCGGCTGCGGGGCAGCGCCCAGGTGACCATGCGGGGCGGGCGGGCGCGGCCGCCGCACGCTCCGGGCAGCAGGTAGCGCTCGCCAGGTGCGCGGCGGAACATGGACTGTCTGCTGCTGGCCGTCTGGACTCTACCTGCTGCGATTCTCGGCGGCAGCTCCATGCAATTCCAGACTCTCCCGTGGCTCGGAAGCACTGTAAAGGCAGGTCGAGAGCACTTTCTTTTGCAGTCGCCTAGTGTACTTTCATACCAGGTTGCTGCAGTTTCTGGTGCCTTGTCTTTCTGCCTTGCCTTGTCAAGGAAACTTCGCCCAATACTCCTTTTCTCTCTCTCTCTCTTATTTTTTCTTTCTCTTGCAGACCCTTCAGCTGTGTTGCCTCTGTTGCATGTCTCATGCGGCAACTTTAACCAGTGACAGCATCAGTGAATTGACTCATGGTTTGTATAGCTCTTTCTGTGTCTGTATGTGAACATTTGCATGGATTTTTATCTTTTTTTTTTTTGTGGAGTGAATATTTAGAGGGGAGAAGTCACAGTGTTTAGGGAGCATAAAGTGCAAGCCGGCTGGCTACTGCGGGTTGGTGAACCACGGGCACGGATTAACTTGTTAAGCCCTGTGTGCTGAAGCTGAAAGGAACAATATGTAGCAGCAAAGCAAATGAATGAGATGGTAAATACATCCACGTTTCCATGTGCGATTAGAAAGATGAATGCGTGTGTAGCCACAACAGCAAAACCTCATGTGTCTGTTGTGGAAGCAGTGAGACAAAAGTAATGAAAAGATTTGTGTGGGGGAGCAGGAGGAGCTGTGCAATGCAGGCTAAGGGGGGAAAAGCCTGGAGAGAAAGGGCTTGTGTGAGTGGGAGCTCAGGAGCCGTTTGTTCCCAGGTTGGAGTGACTGGCACGTAGATGCTGATGGCTTTGGGACTTTTGAAGTGCAGTATATGCTTTGTGTTGTGTGTGAGTAGAAGCAAAGTACAGCAGAGAACCACACCAGGGTGCAGAAAGGAAACCCCTCCTGCACCCTGTGCTCTGCTCACTGGGGGATTCCCTCTCTCCAGCAGCTGCTTGCATTTTTTGGCCACCAGCCTGCTTAGCGCCCTCAACTTCTGCCGTTGATTAACACCACTCGAGGAAAGTGAAAGCTCTTGATGTATTGTTTCCACTGTCTGAGGAAAAGCAACCTGTCAGTGGTTACGTTTTCAGCCTAATGTGTGTCCAATAAAGTCTATTCAGGCAAAGAGATTGATTGAGAGATTTTGCAACATCTGTTACAACACAAAAAGGAGGGGGTTTTCTTCTTTTTTGATGGTGTTATTTCAATTTAGGAAAGGAAATTAATTGTTTGTCAAGCGCATGGACATCTCTAAGTGTCCACAGAGAAACACAGCTCACAAATTAAATGGGGTTGGGAAGCAGTTTTTTCAGCATAATTTCTTAGGCTACCAGGAATGGGTGCAAAGATCCTCGTTCAGGAAACAGCTAAAACTCAGACCCTGGTTCCAGGACACAGGTAATCCCTGCATGGCTAGGTCAACACCAATGGTAGTGTGCTGCAAGTGAGGCACCTGCTTGTAGGGCCAGCTGAATTATGGCCTCTTTCAGCCTCCGTTTTTTGGGTGGTTCTGAGTAGATCAGAGTGTTCTCCTCAGAAATAGTTTTGTAATTTTTTTGCATATTTTATGCAAAGCAATAAACTTCTTTGGCATGCAATTAGCAATGGCTGACTAAAGGTTATTAGGTAGGATGTAATCTCTTTCTGCTGGAGGTCAGTTACAATTTGAAACCCAGTCTAATCAAGTCCCTACAAAGAGATGAGGTCTTACTCAGTTAAGGCATTAATAAATTAATCCTTTAATCCATTTGAACAAGTGGTACATTTCTGCAAGGTCTCAGTCATGGCTACCCCTACAGTGATACAACATTTGCTGCATTCTTAGGGAAGGGAAAAGCCTCTCAAAGCGGAGTGGCCTTCACATTTGACAACAATTAATACAGGGGGAGGGGAAAACCTACAGATCTGCTGGTGATGACAAATGTCTTCAGAGGAGCAGTTGTGGGAATGTTCACAGCTATGCTAGTTAGTCTGTGCCTCTCAGTGGGGCACAAAGGAAACAAACACAGGCTGTGAGCCTTTGTGACTTACAGGGCTGAATTTATGCAGGCGAGACAGCACACACAGAGCCCGCAGGCCAGCCCCAAAATGAGGGAATGCTCCGTGCCATAGGAAATGCCTGATACCGTGTCAGAGTGCCTTGCTTGTGGGATGCCAGAGCTGATGGCCAACTCTTTATCGTTACAGATTACGTGTTTGTGACACCTGTCAGAGTGGATGCCAGCGGATCGTACATTTCACATGATGTTTTGCACAGTACTAGGAGAAAGAGATCAACTCAGAGTTCAAAGAGTTCCTTGCACTACAAATTTTCAGCATTTGGACAGGAACTTCACTTAGAGCTTAAACCTTCGACCATTTTAAGCAACAGTTTTATTGTCCAGGTACTCGGGAAAGATGGAATGTCAAATTCTCAGGACCATGAAATTGAGCAGTGTTTCTACCAGGGATTTATAAGGAATGATAGCACCTCTTCAGTAGCAATATCTACATGTGTAGGCTTGGTAAGTGACTATTTCAAACAAATCAGCATTAAAAGTATTTTTGTACATGCAATAGTAGCTGAAGGTATGTTCATATAATATTCAAGACGCCATAAACCCTTTTGCAATTTTTCTAGTATCACTAGTTGCTATTGTATTTGACAGAAGAGACTTTGTTATAGCAAATGAACAGCATCAAACCTTTGTAATTTTTGATGACAGTCTTTCAGGAAAAAAAGACTAGCAGGTAGTCCTAGTAATCATCCCATAGCAATTTGTTACAGTTTGTGATAGTTTATACATTTCTGCTCACTCTTAAGTAAAAGTTCTTCCTGCTTTTGTGAACTGCGGTGAATAAAGGAAAAAAGCCAGTTCAGAAGCTTGTGAAAAAAACAATATTATATCTAGGTTCATCAACTACTTTAGGGAATGGTGAATTTCCTAGCTTGGCAGGAGTTATGAACAAATTTCCCTTTGTTTCCTTTGATAATTGAAGCATTAATTGGGTTTACTGGTCTTGATGAGTTGATCTTTTATAAATGTGTTAAATATTATCATTGTGTATTTTCCATTTATGGCTGCCAGCCAAGTTCATGAAAAATCATTATTCACAGGTGATTTTTTCAAAATACGTTTGACAGTGCTCATTGCCTGCAGAGAAGGCTTTACTGATGTAATTTAGGAGAATTGTCTGCAGGATTAATAGCTAAGGATGTTTTTTAAGGCTTAATCGCTTGCATTTGCAAAGCAGTCTGCTATGGCTGCAGAGGAAGGCAGTGACATTGAGTGGGAAGTCTATGAAGTCATCTGTGTGCTTTGTGGTTGACTAAAGGTCCAGAGGATATGTTGGGTCACCCTCTAGAAATCTGTTTTGCAAAGGTACTTGTCTCTGAGGGCTATTAAGTTGTGTGACGGGACCAAAGAAGGAGCACTTGAGACAGCCAGTGTTTCCTTTGAAACTGGAATCAGTGACTTGAGAAGCCTGTTCATTAGGAAGGGCTGTTGATAACTGGTTGAAGTGGTCTGGGTTATATTTTGAATGCTGTGCTCTTTTATTTTTTTTTTTTTTCCTCCCATGAAGTTAGAAGAATCTTAACAGTTCATTTGAACAGTTGTAAATGTGAGTTTGGAGCAGGTGCCAGGAACTGGGCTGGAGCTTTCTTTTGCTTTTAAAGTTATGTTTGTGATGCTGAACTGTTAATATCAAATGTGCTCAGTTGTTTTAATGGAAGCTTCGTATTCACAACTGCCACTTTTGGTCAGATTTACTCAGAAAAATACCCTGTTTTCACTCATTGCAGTATTTTGTCTTTTTGCTATGGGACATGCTCTACCTACACACAGCAGGTACAGTTTGGGAGATCTCCCCTGTTTGGCCACGTTTTGGTTTTTAACATGCTTTCTAAGCTAAGTGAAGTTTGGCTTGTCAAGTCTTGTCTGGAGAAGGAAGGTTCAAGCCTGCCTCAGGTCACAGAGGAACAGAATGTGGTGATCTTAACTGAGAATGAAATGGATCTTTTACCACTGTCTCGACACAGAGGTTGTTATGACTGGTAAGCTTCACTTAGAAAAGATCCAGAAACTGATCAAAAGAGAATAAATATTGTGGTATGAACAAACTTATTATAGAAGTACCTAGATTATCAACAAATAGAATCTCTGTTTAAAATTAATTTCAAGGTTCAATAGATTTTGCCTTAAATTGTTGTTTTAAACTGGCAAATGAAGTAAGCCTTTACTTACCTACCCTACAGGAGATTATTGTATCCCAAAGTATAATTGTTCCTTTCTCTCCCTATCCATCTATTAATTTCAGTGCACCTAATGAATCCCAGGCAAATTACCAACAGGATTCTGAGTCTTTCAGTTTACAAGGCTGTCCTCTTAAAGATGTCGTCAGCTGTCTGTAATGACACCCACGTCACTTTTCACTGGGATCCAAACTCAGTAATCATATGTTAAGTCTGGACGCTGTGCTCTGATCAAGAGAACCTTGTGAATAGCTTCTATATCCTTTTTCACCAACTACTTTTGTCACTTGGTTGCCCTTCTTTCCTATTTGCTTTGTTCACTGCAATTAAACCGAAAGTGGTGTTTCTTCTATATGGTTGGTAGCACTAATCTTTCCATTGTTCCTTTCATTAGCAATAGCTTCTCTACAATAAAGCTGCAGTGACCCATTCTTTCAAGCCTGGAACACCACAATGTGATTTGGAAGCAATTGCATTTCAATAGACTACGGGGACTCTTTGATCTAATTTTTTGGATGACCTAGAGTATTCAGTCATTCAGCTGTCTGTTATCTGCCAGTGCCTGCAGAGGAGACTTTGGGGAGAGGCTGTATGAAATGGTTTGTTAGGAAGGATGACCTTAACTTAACACTGCAAAGGAGCAAGAATTTGTTGCTTTGGTCTAGATCTGTTAAGAGATGTGTGTATATTACATTTTAATGGCTTAGTTGACAGGAAGGCCCCACGTTTTTATGCTGATTTGTTGATTTGAGA